CATGAAGAACTCCAACTGGTCCTACTGTCCTCAGTAGTTTGATTGCATCCGAGACTTCCGCACTTATTGGAGGATTGGTGTCCACTGGCAGTTCTGTGGCTGTTGGTGGTATTTCTGAATGAGATGTAGGTGATTGTCGGCACAAGAGTCCTTTAAGGTGGTCAGTCCATTATTACCTTTGCCTTGTCTCTTTTATAATTGGATTACCCTACTATCTTCCATTGGTTCCATCTGTGTGGATCCTTTCCTTCATAGGCACCTGGCTATCTGTCATGGTCACTGACGTCTCTTTTACCTGTAGCCTGCTTGTTCCGCTTCAGTTTCCATTGTGTTGTAGAATCGTCTTTTGTCTTTCCTAGCATTCTTCTCCCCTGTTTCGCCCAGTGCGATGTACATTGAACTCAGCTTCTCCTTTCGTTGTTCATCTTTGCACTGGTTCATCTTCTGTTTCACCATCTTTCATTCCCTTATCGGCTTCAAGGTGTTTGTAGTGAGCAATTTCATATCCTCCTATTGTCTGTGATGTCTCCGGCAGTTTCCTTCGACTTTGTCTTGTGACCGCTCCACGCGTGTTTCTTAAGTGGTGCTACACAACGCCTCAAACTCTTCCCTGGTGACTGCAGTGCAGGTGTCGTTTGTAACATTTTCCTTCTCTTTCTGAGTATAGAGCTTCAATTGTGGCCTATTTCCAGCTTTTCTGCAGGTTTTCAAACTGATCTTTAGGAGTTATCCCATTAGATAGTGTTCTGAGTTCACATTTTCTTTGTCCATTTTGCATCCAGTAAGCTACGACTCCATATTCTCGAGATTGAGATAATATCTATTTGATTTTTAGTCCACCCATCTGGTGAAACCCATGCCGCCTTGTAGACAACCTTATGCCTATATACTTTATCTTCAGTCACCAAAACATAACAGGTGTAAAACTTTGCAAAATTCTCTGTTTTCATAATTCTCCACGCGTGCGTTTCAACCAATGATTAGTTCTCACCCTGTGTTGTCTGCTCCCAGTTTGGTTTCCATTCATATAACCCATTAGGGTTTCCATGTGATCGCCTGGGTTGGGTCTTACCCATTAATGTTTCCGGTTGCCCGTAGAAGTATTTCTTCTTCCCTTATTCTGCCATACTTGTGGGAGCGTAGCATTATATAATTGTAACTTTCCCACCTTTTGAGTTGAACCTTGCTGTCATGCTGGAGGAGACCGGTTCTCACTACATAAGAGCTTTTAATGCTTTTGGCGACATCCCGATCACCATTCCCTCAGTGTGCTTGTCTTTTGGATGACTGGGAGAGCCTGCTACCATTTCATCTCCTCTCACAGACTCTTGACGCTTCTATGCTATGTCTTCTTACTTCTTTTACAATCTGAGAAGCCTTCCCAGTCCGAACACCGTGAGGACATTTCACGCTTATTTTTAATTTTATGGAAAGGAGATACAATGACTGATTGGCTTTCGGAGGGCTTACATTTTTGTCTCTCCGATTCCAGCGAAGAATAAATTTAATTTTTATATTGTTGTATGCCATGAAGTTTACTGAACTAAAGAGTAAAGAAAAGTGCCAGGGAAGACAAAAGACAATATTATGAAGCTATGGTAAGTGAAGCAGAACAAGCTGCAGAAAAAGGAAACCTCGCCACACTCTACCAAACAACTAGGTTCTTATCGAGGGGAAGATCAACACAAATTAAGCCAGTGAAGGATGACAGTGGAAAGTCAATCACCAAAGAGGTGGAGCAAAGAAAACACTGGGCTGAACACTTCAAAAGACTTCTAAATCGACCACCACCTACAACGCGCCAAATAATACCAACACCGAAAGCAGAACTACCAGTGGACATCAACCTTCCGACGAAAACAGAAATCCTGAAGGCAATCAAGATGCTAAAAGCTGGAAAAGCATCAGGACCAGACAGAATACCAGCAGAGGCATTGAAAATGGACCCAGAGACATTACTACTGAAGGTGTGGAAAGAGGGCAAGGTACCTGCGAATTGTAAGAGAGGCTATGTATCCAAACTACCAAAGAAAGGGGACTTAGGTCAATGCAAGAAACTAGCGCGGCGTTATTCTTCTGTCTATCGCAAGCAAAATACTAAGCCACATCATCCTGGAGAATCAAACACGCGCTGGATGTAAAACTTCGACCGGAACAGGCTGGGTTCAGGAGAAACAAGTCATGTATTGATTAAATCGCAACGCTACAGATCATCTTTGAAAAGAGCTTGGGATAACAGTCACCTCCCTGCCTCAACTTCATCGGCTTTGAAAAGGCCTTCGAAAGATGATTTGAAAACCGCTTCACTAATACGGCGTGCCACCGACAATTATACATCCCATCCAACAGTTGTACGACAATGATGTACGCCAAGTAATCCACAACGGAATCCTCCGAAGTAAAGATGGGAGTAAGACAAGGCTGCCTACTATCTCCAATGATTTTTCTGATTGCAGTAGGTTGGATAATACGACAGACAGCAGGCAATGAGGAAACAGGCATAAATTGAACTTCGAGGATCTGGACTCCACCGATGATATATGTCTGATTTCCCACAAACTGGAAGATATGCAAGTGAAAAGCAACAAGTTGGCAGAAGAAGCATCAGAGATAGGACTTCAGGTGAACATAGAGAAAACAGAGGTGATGAAGATTCCTGGCCGACACCAACAGCAGATGGGAATCAGCATAAATGGGGAAATCTGAAAGAGGCAACCTCCTTTACCTACCGACATGGGAAGCATAGTTTCAAGTACAGGCGGGCGGAACTGACGAGGATATCAAAGCCAGAATCGGAGAAGCAAGACAAGCTTTCATTACTCTTAAGTCTATGTGGAGGTCAACAGCACTCAGAATCAAAAATAACATCCGGATCTTCAACTCCAATGTAAAGTCAGTGCTACTATACGGATATGAGACTTGGCCAGCGCGTCATAAGGAGCATCTCAAACAAACTACAGACCTTCATTAACAGTTGTCTCTAGTACTTCGCTCAAGATCAGATGGCCAGCCAGAAAAGATCAGCAACAGGGATATCTGGGAGAGAACCAACCAGGAAGCAATTGTGAAACAAATAGGCAGGAAGAAATGGAGGTGGATTGTCCACACTCCAAGAAAACCATCAAGTGACATCACTAGACAAGCCATCGCTCAAGTGGAAGCAGAGAGTTGGTCGTCCAAGGGTGACATAGAGGAGGTCATGTGAAGAGGAGATGAAAACATGTGGGCAGACGTGGAGCCAGGAGTGAACGTTGGCGGAGAACCGAATGCAATGGAGACGTGAGGCTAAAGCCCTATGTTCCTCTAAGAATTAAAGAAAACAAAAATGACAATAAAGTTTGTGTAGTGACTGGGTTGATTTTCCAGGAGGGGGGACTAGCCCCACGCCCAACCTCCCTCTTTTTGGGGAGTTGGGACTGGCTAGTAAACTCGGAGATTTGGTATAAAGAGATAGATTCGGAAGGATGTGCATAGACACCCTGCCTAAACTCTGTGTGCAAAAAAGTTTGTTCAGTTATTTGTTTTGCTATTGTTTGCACTCATTTGTTTCCCAGGTCCTGTTATTAGTGAATAATCAACCACTGGCAATTTTAAAATGTTCCTTATTTCTTTTACCTTCCTTTTGAGCTTTCACATACGTCGATTCGATACTCCAATGCCTTGGTTTGAGCTTACTAAGTGTTGTCTTCATCGCTTCTCAACTTGTTACACAACTTCTTTCTCGCATTCAGTCTTATTCACGCAACTGTGCGCCAGAGATCGATAAAGAACTAATATTCAAAAAGCTTAAGAGAATGACTTCATTAAGAAAAAAAATCACTTCGCTTATGTATCTTGTTATATATATATATATATATATATATATATATATATATATATATATATATATATATATATATATATATATATATATATATATATATATATATATATATAAACATATTTAGGGTTTGTTGAAAGCGAAACAAGCTTTAGGTGCACAATCAAAACCATGAAAATGTATAGTTGTATATTATGCATTAATGGGTGATTTGTGATTAAATTAAAAATTACTTTCGGACAACTAGCCAAGTTATCCATTACATTAGGAGAGAGTTAAAACAAACAGAACCTATCCATCGCTGTTCGCCTGCTAATTACTGAGATCTAACAACTTGAAATGCGATGCTGGGGGTAGTTTTCTATTAGTATCCCTATGACAATAAAAACAAGTAGCAGTTTAAAATTTTCTAAGCCTTAATATTTGATCAAAAATCTTTTATCATCAGGCTAAATGATTTCATAAATACCTTTCGTCGATTCGAAGAAGTTATTCTAAATCACGCTTATGAACTCACCTATTCTGTTGATGAAACATTCATGACCGAATTTCCAAGGACGGTAAACAAGTCGTATCTTCATTCTGAGGTTGAAACCTTTCTCACAGTGTCATATTTCCACCTGTTCATTATAACGAACCTCAGGGTTACTCAAACAGAATTTCAACTTTTAAGGCAATACTGACTTTGAAACAACCTGTTAAAGATATTGTAACGTTATTTAATCAAATAGTCTGCACATAAAAACTACTATGCAGAAAAAATATGCTGTCATTGTGGTTTATTCGCAAATTAGATGATGACATTTCTTAATATTACAGATACTATACTGTCAAGTATGTATGCATCCAGAAATATGCATACAATTAAGTTTTCTTCAAATATTCATTGAAAATATAATTTCTAGTAAATTTAGCATGATCACATTTGCAAGCATAAGATCACAGTACTGCTGCATACTGGCAAATTAAAATGAAATATATGTCCAGTCCCTGGTTTATGACTCAATCCAACCTGAAAGCAACGAAGATTCTGTTAATCTAACATTAGAATATTAACCCCACCTAATTCTTGTCTAAGTTATTGTCCAAAACAGAAGCCCATCCATAAACGGTAATCTAATTTATTCCAATAATATCTATTTGACTATAAAAATGAATGAAATAATGTGTGATATGTCTTTCACAATCGAACATTTCCTCCCCATCTTTCTCGATAGCTTAATTCATTATTTTGAATCTTTGACAACTTCTTATCCTACAAAGAAAAAGAAACAACGAAATACAATTGATAACTGGTGAAATACTCTTCAGGGTTAGTAGTAATTAATAGAACAATTAGATGATTGACACTCCGTCAATTCATTCAGTTCTATAAACAAGAAACCAGCAAGTGAATTCACAAATCTAATAAAGTAAAAAATTTGATTGGAAATGAGCCTATTATCATGGTCATAAAGTGTTTATTCATTGAAAAAAATCGAATCAGCATGTGAACGGGTAACAAATGAAGTTCACCTTACCGTTGTTCGTAATATTTAACATCCAGGAGAAAATAACTCCTCAGCTGTATGACAATACATAGCATAAAGTCATAACTTAGCACACATAAGCAATTTGCACGATCTCTTTCGCTATCTTGGACTTCATTTGGCCATGCAATTCACAAAACTTTTTCGGTCTATATTGCTTCATTTCGCCTTGTCTTATGTTACTTTGCGTTATCATATTCTAATGCATCTTATTTTCCCATTTTATTGTATTTAACCTGATAAACTCACTTATTCACATATTTAAGTGCCCTTAGTCTTCTTATCATCTTATTTATGCATGTCTACTGAACTTTGTGTTGATGTCTCTTTATTCATTCGTATTTCAAACCAATTCCTGATTCATCATCTAAACCAACACATTATCACACTTCAGTATTCCCACTCACATTCACGACAAACGGACTTCTTACTTTCTACTGTTAACAAAATATAATCTGTATGCACAGTTATGAAGATGAAGTCGTTACAAAGAGAACTTGCTTGGCTGAAATTATTGTTTTACGGCTGAATGAGGATTATTAATTCATTTAATAACGATTAATCCGTTGCAGAAACAAAGTTAAAAGCTACTTTTTTTGCTTAACATTATATGGAAGAAACAATAATTAGTGCAGTAGATATTTATATCTCAAAAGACCGTAGAAATGTCAGTTGTTCAACACTGAATTCGTACAAGTAACTTCCTTAAAAGGTGTGTGAAATGAAGCTAGTGAAAAATCTCCTGGGATGAACGACAGAAACTAGGAATGCCTACCTTCGCACTTAACTTTTGACCAAATGGCTCCAGATTCAAACATCTTTTCACCTACTCTAACTTCAACAATGAAGTGCCAACACAGAATCTTCAAATATTGTGACTCATAGTCCAGTGCATAAAAATGTGTATTAAGTTAGTAGGCTCGATTAAGTAAATCTAATGAAACAATTTAAAAAGTGATACACTATGAAACAAAGAATCTATATAGGCAATGATTTTTAAACTGTACCCCCAGGTGTTTTCGCAAGAAAAATAAAACCCCACTGAAGCCTAGAAATGCAGCAGCTAGCAAGCCCAATCGTGGTGACGGTCGTAGATACTCTGCATATGTAACTTGAGCTGAAAAATGTCGCTGTAGCGCAGGATCGTGCTGAGAATAAAAGAAGTAAGAAACAATGGGAGAAATATATTTCTTTACACTGAATGATAAATAATTATGTAAGAAGCTGAATAAAAACTTCAAAAAACCATATTTCAGACAATACACTATGATGAACATACACAAAGAACTAGTCACATGCATTTACAATGGGAAAACTTTACTGATCGTTGTAATTTAGATAAGCAGTATTCCATCAAGTACCATAATCGCTGCCAATTTTAGCAATAAGTATACACTGTGTGCTACTTATAGATAAACAAGTGGTTTGTCTCAGGTGCACTATGCATTTATAAAAGTGGATACTATATTAACAGTATAAGAAAATCAAATTTCCTCTATGATTTTGTAGAAAATACGCACTTCCAATGTGGTTGAGTAGACTACTTGCTTACAAAGTACTCATAGAAGAAGAGAACTTCCATAATGAATGTCTCTGCACCTAAAATTAATTAACCAACATGTATATCATGATAACATTGTCTATGCAATGCTTAAAAATAATTACCAATGAGGAGTAAGGCGGGAGGAACAGGTTCTTCACATTCACACCTGAGATTGAGTAAGGTGGCAAATACCACCTTAATGCATTTTTAGAGCAGTGTACCTCGTTAAACCCCAACTAGCACCAACTTTGAAGCCAAAACTGATACATAATTGAAGGACTACTTAAGAACTATTCGATGAGCACGGTAAGCCAGAAAAATACATGTGAAATCCTGGTATTGAGACGCTTGATGAAAATTCTTTCCGCATAAAATGGTGTTAGTTGTCCCAAAAATTAGGCCAAATACTAAACAAAATCGTGGGGAATACCAGTGCTAGAACGCTGCTTTCCAACAGCAGACAAAGAACTTTAAAAAAGAATTATGGGAAAAAATTGTTGAAACTTCAGTCATTTATATAGATTGTTTTCCAATTCGATATTTTTGCCAACTGATATACTCAGGCAACGAAAACTAATTACTGGCTAAAAATGGGAAAGAATGGAAAGTTCAACATCGTTTTCACCTTTTTAGTGTGAAATTTGACCGTTAAATGCAAAACAAGGACCCGAATATTAGGTTCTTCATAACAGTCGGCAAATATTACCTATAGAACTAAATCGTTTAACTTTCATCTATCAGGTGACAACTTAAACAGGGATGAATTCATCAGGTTATTTAGCTACGATTCGTGATAACAATAATGAAAATCTTACAATTGGAGCAGGTGTTGGTTTGAATGGGTTTGTATACTGCTTTCGAAACTCAGCTTTCATTACGTCTCTGATTTTGGCTCTTTCCTTGATGGCAGCCTGTTCCTCTGGACTTTCGTAGAAAGTCTTCCATGGGTCAAATATCTGTTTCTCGTCGACGGTCATCAATGTAACGCAAAAACTGAAAGTGCTTCAAGATACTCGAGAGTCCAATGTGAACTATCAGAGGAGAAATTGATCATCAAATCCACAGTTGTAATTTCATTCTCAATAATTGCCATAAACGTCTCTCAAAACAAATTTTAGCAGCATGAAATCTAACTCTGAGTAGGAAAAGTAACCGACAAAGTGAAGTTAGTCTGTGAATGATCTTTAGGCAGTTGATCTTCTCTTACTAGTTTGCTTGTCTCTCTTGCTGCAATCATTTATTCCCATAGTTTCTTACCGTTCAAGCTACATTAAAAATCCCTGGAAACGTTCAAGCATTATGCGCACCTTCATCAGTTTTGAGGTGAGAGCCAGACTGTTCACTAGTTTACTAAGACCCGATTAGGAATCAATCATGTGAGTGTTCGGCAAGCAAGTCCATCAGAACTAGTGGTGTCATAACAATAAACAATACCATTTCCGTTTGATACTGATGGATTGACTAACTTAAATGTAATCAAATAAATTATTGAACCCAGAAGAACTGTAAATATTTCACGTACTTCTGTGACTCACTAGAAGAATGATGGACAGATAATGGATTTTTTGTATGAATGGGTACGCAGTGGCTTGATTGTGTTGGTACGGTGTGCTCATGTAAACTTGTACTCCCTTCGCTTGCACTCCCTCTTATTAGCTGAGTAGTCTAAGAAGCAGCATGGTCACCAGTTAATAGTTGGTGAACTTAGGTGTGTGCTGTCAAAATATAGCTTTGTCAGAGCTTATTGCTATTGTAGTGGTAGTTAATTCCCCAGAATTATTGGTCACAGAGTTTATCACTGAACACTGGACGCTGATCCTCACTGTTTTGGTCGACCTTTTTGGCTGAAGGCCTACGGCCAAGCATCCACGCCATTTGGCACGCCATCATGTTACATTCGCTCGACCCCTAGATAGTTAAGCAACTATCTCGCACTCCGATTTGACCCCGGAATCTAATTCGCAACCTGGACCGTCAATTCTGGTTTTTTGCTTTGCCTTTGGTCTGCGCGGAACGAATACTGTAGAAGTTGTGGGTATAAGATCTTGAGTTAGTATACTTCATACTGTCCCTTAACGTCGACACCCTTGAATCGATAAGGCAGACACGCTTTCATTCTTTGAAGCGATATGGTCATCTGGCCTCCTGGGAGTTCAAAGTCCTTCAGACACAGGACTAGATTATCTGTAACCTCAGAAAACTGTGGAATAACCCTGCCACTGTGTTCAGCCCAAACCCACTACCTGTATTATCGACAACGCACCGTCAAACAAACCTGTATACCGGCACCTTCTAGGCCTCGCGCATACATGAAGATACTGAAGGGGTAAGCCCGTACAGAAGTCGGTCTAAGGCGATATTATGCAAACATAAGAATTATTATATTGTTGTTCCGTTGAGTTCCGAGTGGAACATAGGACTTCATCATCAAATGTCCGCTTTGTCCTGTTCTGTGTGGTCTGTAGCTGGCCCGGGCATCACCCTTGGTCTCTCCTTCCCTTACACACAAGATATTCCCCATGTCACCCTCTGAAGCCCCACTCCTCGTTTTCCATTCCGATTCAACTTGAGTTGTTGACTTACACGCGATCTCACTTGACGGTCACCATTTTCTTCCATTTATTTGTTGAACAGTAGGTTCTTAGCCCGTCAGTTGTCGGAGTTCCCTGTCGCTAATTTTTTCTCGTCGACCATCTGACCTTCAATATGGGAACAGCGAAGACAGTGGCTGACAAATTTCTGCGGCAGCCTGTTGGAAATGCCTTTTTTGGCGGGTGAGCCAAGTTTGTGTCACATATAGAAGCGCCGATTCCCTTGACATTGGCGCCGAAAATCTCAATTTGTTGGTTGATACCTCTGAGTGCAGAAGATTTTCAAACTGATTTCAAAGTAATGGGCTGTCTTGCTCTTCCGACTCAGGTTTTGACATCCGCAAGTGTTCATCCCGCGAGCGAAAATATGCTTCCTGAGTGAGTGAAGAAAGTGACGCCTTTCAAATTTTCCAAGTTAATAATGATTGTTGGTTGGTTACTTTCATCACGTCCGTCTTCTACATGTTCGTTTGAAGACCTGTCGTCGCCCTCGGCATCTTCCGCAAGTTTGTTGGTTTCAACAGCAAGACTTCGAGTTTCTGTGACATGAGACAAATCGTTCACAGAGTCCAGACCTCACACAGTGTTCTTGTCGGTCTATCATACTACTGTCTTCCCACTCCCCACAGTCTGATGTGTCACCCAGCCCAACACAGTTAGGAATATATTCAGTGCTAATAGTCAAACTTGTCCTAATCATGTCTTCACTTAAACTTAGAAAGTGAGTTCTCTCTTAGGCACCACTTCGTATGTGGTAACATCACACAGCTGCTTATTGATCACGATAGCATTGAAACAGTTTCCAAACAACTTCACGCTTGAAGACCCACTCAAAGTCGATGACGTTGACGTAGAGAGTTGACTGTCCTCCCGTCCTCTGCTCGATGATGACGCACATCGCTGCCAATCGGTTCGAACATGATTTCCTTTCTACAAATCCAAGCTGTTCCAGCTGGTGTTTTGCGCCTACAGAACATTTCAGTCTTTCCAGAATCACGTGATTGAATATCCTGCTTGATGTAGACAAGAGTATGATTTCGTGCCGGTTCCTGAGAAGCCCTAAATCGCCATTCTTTGAAAAGGCAGCTGTCAGTCAAGTCTCATAAACCGTCATAGTCCAGCTCTTCCTGCGCTGGGCCTCACGCTGTCCCTCGAAGATTTACAGAAACGCTTGCTATTAACCGACACAAAAAATAGACCACCGATTTGCGACTGAAGAATCCTTTATTCTTACGCCAACATGTAACCAGCAATATTGCTTTTACAGAGTAAGGCGTAGGAACAAATATCACAACAATAAATCACGATATTACTTCTGACAGTTTTTTGAAATTCCTTCTGGACAGCGACCGATGAGACGATGACTGGTGGATTGATGACTCCGCGAAAATATAGGGAAGTTGGGTTTGAGAAAACAAACATGAATTGATCGTTCAATGTTCAACTAAATTGACACACCCCGGGAGGAAAGGGATCCACCCTTTTTTTCCATCACGATCAATACACGTTGACTTGGATACCATTGCGAGAACCTGGGCCAGACGGACAAACCTGAAATGGAAAACATGCAGAAAATCCAACACAACACAGACATACCCGCAGCACAATCTCACTCATCGATGACGACCTACGCCTTCCAGTTGAAGGCATCCCTTCGACAACTTGCAACACAATCGCCACTTGCTAGAATGACTCTTGCAGAACGCATAGTGACCATAGCACCACCTCATGGTACTCTTAGCACATCCTCTTATATATTCACTACCAATAACCACTGCAATCGCTTGTCACTCATTCTGCCTCACTTCTAGTAACGGTGACGTATGCAAGCCTCAGTCGTCTACACTCTCGCTCCTATGCGTGTGGGACAACAGCTAATCATTATCTCCGTGTGCATGTCGTTCTCAGGAATAACCTTCCCGGCATACACGACCCGTCTGCTATCTTTAACGTCAATCAATCCATTCACGGATGCTGAAGACTCAAAACAACTTCGGAAGTAAGCACGACGAACAATTTAACAAAATTGTGCATAACAACAAGATATGAAAACAACAAGTAAACGCAATGAATCCAGAAAACACTAATTCATATGACACACCACACGTATATACAAACAGTACACATAACCTCGCGGAGCATGTCTTGATGTAATTTTTTGAAGAACTGCAAGACTTACACCGGTACGTCTACATTCCTTCTCAGATTGACTATTGTAAGTTGAAGAATGTCCGGACACAAAGAAGATTAACCAACAATTACATTAATTGGAACCCACACAGTTATTTAACACAAATATATGTACAATCAATACATCAAATTTTGTGGATTCTGGCACGACAGACTACCCTTGAAGAACTGTAGGACTTACAGCAGTACGCCTACATTCCTTCTCAGGTTGATGATACAAGAGGAAGGCGTCCGGACACAAACAAAATTACCAACAGATAGATGAGAGATGATACCAATTCAATATATACAACATGAACATATGTGGAAAATGACAATCTATGCACATTGGGCTACTCATCGATACACTACCCTTGAAGAATTGTGGGACTTACGGAAGTACGCCTACAACCCTTCACAGGTTGGCACCCTAGGTTGGGAGATTGTCGCAGAGTTCATTTACCGACCTCTTTACATCATCTATATCCTCAACTCTGAATGGTGACATGCCCATGTCATTGTATCGTAGAATATAGATGACTAACAAACATACGACGTATCTGACCAACCAAGATTGGGTACAAAGTAATTTACGCCAAAGATAATAACATTCACAACTTGGCTTATCCTCATTAAACTGATCAATATCTCTTGTCATTTCAAACAGAGTGATACTAGCATTAACATAGCATAAGACACGTGAGTTCATGGATACCCCTTTCATTGTGGGTGACAACACCAACGACGACTGATTGATACCAGTTGATGAACTTAGCGGTGGATCAGAAGCTGTTGTTGCTCGACTTTCAGAAATTTGTCTACCTTCAAGACCACCACCACTGCTGTCTTTTACTATCAGCTCAGGTTTAGCAATAGCATCTGATGATAGGTGGGCTACATGCTGATCAATCACACTGACGGTCTCACAAGTATGTATGCCTTCTGCAACTGCATCTGAATTTATTTCCACTTCACGTTCAAGTTGTACAGAACTTTTGTTCAACTCAGCAGTAGTAGGCATTCCCTCCATTTCATCATGATCAACCAAAGACAAATCTGCACTATCATGATCATTATCACGAATATTCACTTTACCGTCAACTTCATCATTTTCAAACTCTTTAATAACAGAAGTAGACAATTTTGATTCCTCCTCGCAAATCCTAAAAGGTTTTATAACTTCACTCTGACTAGTAATACCTTGTAAACTTGTAGGGTCAGAACTGGACTCTGAAGCAGCAACTCTATTCTGTGACACTCTATTCAACAATGGCTTACCAGTTGCAGCTACAGACTTCTTCACTGCACCGTTATCGTCACATAATTCGGAGTCAGACCTGGAGTTTACATTTAGCTTATCACTGAACTTGCTCACTGGTTCACAGTTCACTTCTGTATGCACCTCTTGCACACGTGTAAAACACAACCGTGTTTGTCTTGCATCTTGTAACTTATCTGTTGAGGATGTACTACGTATCCTGTTACACTCACTAGGTCTATATGCATTACTAGACATCATGGAGCCTTCTCGATATCCACCTCTCTGAGGCCTACTCGTCATCAATGATTGCATTTTGCTCTCAGACTGCTCTATTCTAGGGGTGAGATGTAATAGACTGGCGAACTTGCTCATAGATTGACACTATCCTTTACTAGTTTCAGGATATCATCAAACTTTGGCTCGATACCCTCATCCTCCATACGGGAGCTTATCTTCACCCACTTCCTTTGCAGTCGAGTAGGTAGACGTCTTGCTATTAATTCTAGTATAAAACTCGAGTTGAGGTCACTCATGCGATTCATCGAAATCATTCCATTCTTGTAAATTAGCAAATTATCTAAAAACTCAGTGAGTGCCTTGGAGTCATCTTGAAGTTGACTGCCGTTACCTTTGACAGCTTCGTATACGTTCCTTACAATCATTGAAGGTCTTCCAAACCTTTGACGTAGTATGCTCATAGCCTCGTAGTAGCTCTCATTAGGGGGCATGAGCTTACAGCACTGTATAGCTCTTGAAGCATCTCCAGTGCAATACCTCATCAAATACATTAACTTCAATGCATCACTTAATAAAAAACTACTCAGCATGATCTCAAACTCCTTTACAAATTGTAAATAATCGGCCGGGTTTCCATCGAAACACCGTGGTTCTAATTTAGGGAGTTTGATGTTCCTATTATCCCTGAACGGCGAAACAATAACATCAACCATGTCATGCTTAACATCAGACACATCGTTACAATTAACAGACAAGTCACCATGACTTACTTTCCTGTTTGCATCCAAGACACTCTGTTCCTACTTTGACCCAGGCATTGTTGAACTTGACCCAATTCCAAAAACGTTCCAGATATTGCTTGTTCAAAGAGGACTTAACCGGCACCAGGAAAGATGAACGGTAACTATACAATCTGTTACCAACGATCCAAACCCTTCGAAAGCTGACTTCACCGTCAGAAACTGTCAGCCACGTCTCGTAAACCGTTAATGCCCAGCTCTTGCTACGCTCGGGGTCACGCTGTCGCTTGAAGTTTCTCAGAAACGCTTAGTAATAACGGACGATAAAACCAAAACACCAATTGTTGACTCGAGGATTCTTTATTGTTACACCAACATATAAATCACGTATGACTAAGGTTTCTGACGGTGTTTTACTCTTCTTTCTGAACAGCGACCGATGAGACGATGACTGTCGTATTGATACCTCCGCGAAAATTGGGGAAGTTGGTTTTGAGCAAACAACCATGAATTGATCGTTCAATCTTCAGCTACATACACACACAGATCCCTGCAGACCATTGAAATGCTACAATGGTAGTCCCGCCAATCTACCAAAGAAGGGAAAGTCAAACCTTTGCGTGAAATGGCTTAGCATCATGCTTCTGTCCACAGACGGGAAAATGTTCAACCGCATCTAGCTCGAAAAAACTTAAGTGTTGCTCCAGATGGGGAAATCCCGAAACATTTTATGGGACCCATGGAGAAAATGAAATTCGCATAGCGAATTCCAATAATGCTCCCTGTAATCATTGCAGTTTAGAATTATAGCCAACTCTGTTTCTACACTTCTCCGCCTTTGAGAAGCCATTCAACAGCATAGGATGAGAAACGGTTTGATAGCTGCCTCAAAGCCACGTATCGAAGTGTTGTTGACGGTTTTGGGTCTCGTTCAATGAGATTATAATAATGATGGACCTCAAGGGATTCATAACGCAGCACTCAGTGAGGTTTTTGAAGGGAAAACAAGGGTAGAAGCGGCAATGTGACCATGTATTCGACTTAGGAAATACCCTAGAACATATAAAGTTCACAGATAATTTATGTCTTGTCTCGCAAATGTGAAGATATATAAGCAAAAACTAATCATATCTCTAGAAAATTAGCGGTATGGTAGTGGTGAGGAAGTTACACGACCGACAACAAGCACTTATCAACATCAATGAGAAAAAATACATTAATCCCTCTCTTTCATTTACCTCAGCAGCATCACTTCAACTACAGACAGTACATATGGAGACGCAGAAGTGATCAGCCAGAAGTAAGAAATTAAGACCAGCATTTATTACTCTGAAATCAGTGTGGGAACCTATTACATTTGTAGCCTCTATATTTTAATAATGATGCCAAACCAGTCAGTAATCCTATTTGGAAGCTTGTTGCCAGACGTGAAGCTAGCTAAAATTGGAAGTTGAGAACAGAATACAGGCTGGATGAACTGCTGCATCCCTGTGTTCTTCGTGGTACCAATAGTAATATTACTGATAACAATTCACAATAATTCACACAATCAACTCCAATGAAAAGAGACGATAAAATTTGGGGTGGTTGACACTTCACACATCGACGTCGTGATGGTTTTTCTTCTGCATGAATTATGTAAATGTTAGATTGGATTGTACACTGTCCACGACTGATTGACCTTTATTAACGATGAAACAAAAAACCGCCCATCATTTAAATACATCTGTAGGGCGCGCATTCTATTAGATCGCACGCTGTCTTAGCAACTGTTTTGATACGTTATATTCTGTCACGCAGTATTTGTCATAAAAATGGCTCTCCACATTCCTAAAGCCCCAGGTTTCATGTCAATGCTGAAAGAAGGTGCTAGGGTAACTTTATTACTCGATGATATATAATTCATCAGTACTTCGAAGGTTTAGAAGAAGCGGTGTATCGTAACATCGAAGCGTGTTTGGCGCTCACGAAATCAATACGGTCTACTTATGGACCTTCAGGACAGAACAAAATTGTCATAAATCACATTGGTCGCCTGTTTGTAACGAATGATGCGGCTACAATCCTGAAGGAACTTGAAGTCGCCCATCCAGCTGCAAAAATACTCGTTATGGCATCTCAACAACAAGAACAAGAGGCTGGTGATGGTACAAATATTGTTTTTCAGCTTGCTGGTGCTCTGTTGGAACAAGCTAGGGATCTTTTACGAATGGTAGGTTGATTGATTTTTCTCAGCAAGATACGTGAATTCAGGGCCTCTCAGTGGCACAGGTAACCAGTGGCTATGAAATGGGATGTAAAAAGGCCTTGGAAATACTTAATGGTAAGTTGTTTAGAGAAATTCATCCTTTTTAAAGAGCTTGTGGTTGAGAATCTGAATGACTTGAGAAGTTTCAAAGACGTACGACGTGTGATTAAATCTGTTGTGATGAGTAAACAAGTTGACCTAGCTGATTTCCTCTCCGATCTAATAACAAACGCATGCAGTAAGTCGATTGATTTATTTGTATGATTTTGTAGTTGAAACTTTGCCACAGAAGTCACATTTCAACGTTGATAATATTCGAATTTTAAAAATATTGGTGAGTTGGATGGTTTTTACATTATTATTTGCGAATCAACAAATATGTGTACATCATTATGTAATTTAGACGGTCTGAAATGTGCATCGCGTAATAGTGACTCGTGCATTTATGTAGTCCTGTCACACAAAAATATGACTGAAGAATATTAGTAAAAAATTTTAAGTTAGGGACCTTGGAAAATCCTTTATTTCCTCTGTAACTCAACTGTCGGTCTTAACTTCTTTTTCAGGGTATTGCGGAATGCATCACTGTATTATTTGATGCACTTGAAATGCCACTCTGAAACGCATAATTTTTGATGGATAGTAACAATGGCACTTAGTTTCATTAAGCTCTCTACCTCGAACAGATTCGATGTAAATAAGTGTAGTGGGTAATTCCAAGCTTCTGGAATACGTTGATGGAAAACGAACATGGATGCGACAAAATACTTATGGCTGACATCTAGATGATGGTCAATGGATATTGCCTTCCTAAGCTAATCAAGTAGACTCAGTAATTGTTGTATTATTCGGAAATGGAGTTCTGTTAGGTATTGCGTTCACAGGCTTGCGAACATCTGCTATCTGTTTGATTTGCACTGAAATCGCGTTAATTGTTCTTGTGTGAGTAGTACTCGTAGACGTCATGGGGACAGTGATGTACCTGTCTCACATATATTCGAATGTCAATCTTAATTCATCACTGGGTAAAACTAATGACTGAGCGGTTAAATTCCAACACAGGAGTGCAGCAATTCAATTTGCCCCAGTCTATGATGCATACAAAGGTAAGAGAGACTAACGAAATATAGTGAGCACAAATGTGAGGGAATATATATGATAAGATGGAAAGAAAACGAGGATTTAACAGATACAGACCATAACAAGTAAATGCAACTCTATGCAAGAGAACGATTTTGAGGCACGTAACCAATAGTCTCCAGTCATTGGTTCTTTGAATCAATGGGATCCGACAGTCTTCACCCAGTTATAATGCTCAAATTAACTACCAAAGACTCCATTTATTGTTCTGTATTTCAATGTCAACCTATGTAACCTAAGATTAGTCGGCAAGGACTGATGTATGTGGCATTTGTTAGTCATCTCGCAAGGTGCCGCGTCACAACTTCACCAACTGTCTTTCTTTACTTTACCGTGGTGACTCGAACTGCTGCCTTTCGGTGTCAAGTTCTATGTTGAATCCAGAATTACCTCACACCACATACCTCAGTAGGTCCAAATAATGTCTCACTGGTGAACGTAATTCAGTTGGGACGCATTTACTTAGTGTAGTTTTTCCACTCCGTCACTAGTTAGTATATCCATTCCTACATATTCCAGAATTGATTGTGATCCAAAAATTAGGGTTTTATGAATTCTTTAGTATCTTGATACCTCTACTGCCGTGTATTGATTTTTCTAATTAAAACAGGGTTCTGGTGTTGGTCATTCAAAGATGATAAAAGGTATGGTGTTTCGTCGAGAAACCGAAGGGGAAATTAAGGAAGTCCGTGATGGCAAAGTTGCTATTTTCTCCTGCCCCGTTGATGCACTTCAAACAGAAACCAAGGGTACAGTCCTACTTACGTCTGCAGACGAACTTACTCAGTTCAGTAAAGGTGAAGAGAATTCGATGGAAAAGGTAACCGGTTATTTCATTATGCATATCTTGTAGCATTATTTGATGTTCCGTATTTTTACAGTGAGTACTTCAACTTTCATCTTCAGTCATTTCGTTAGTTTCGAGGTTAATAAAACATTTCTGTCAAAGTGTAATCTAGTAGGCAAGATGATAAGACACTATTGTGAGAGGTTGTTAACCAGCTTAAGTTTGCTAAAGTGCCCTAGATAACTCAGCAGCAGTACGACTGTTCTGCAATATAAGTTGGAGTCTTTATGCTTTAGTATATGTTTCTTAAGCCTTGCGTTCATTTGTCTGAAGTTTCGACTTTGGCAGCATAAAATTTTTAAACTTTACGTTATACAACTCAACAGTCACAAGTTTGTGCAATGGGTTTACACTATCATCTACATATAAATTAGGGCTATATTGCATGCTTTTTCCAATTTTTAGTGACTTGACTTTTCATGCCCCCAAAACGTAGTGAATCCGTATTTTCAACGCAACATTTATCTACTTATATGAATAACACACTAATTACATACCAATACTACCTATCATTTTTATGCTGCAATTAATTATCTTTTTTAGCACATGCGTTCTCTTTCGGATGCGGGTGTGAAAGTTATTGTCAGTGGAGGGAAAGTGGGAGAACTGGCATTACATTACGCTAACAAGTTGGGCATGATGGTGGTAAAGTTGAGCAGCAAGTTTGACGTCCGACGTCTCTGCCGAGCAACTGGAGCTTCGGCTCTCCCACAGTTGGCTACTCCCACACCTGAGGAGTTGGGCCACGTTAATCATGTGTATACGGAAGAAATAGCAGACGCCAGTGTAGTTATATTTGAACAAGGTCAGTTTATCTTAGTGTATCCATTTTTGAATTGAATTTTTACACGCCATGGTTTTAATCGGTTGTTTCTGATGTATTTACTCTGGTAGATAAACATGAAGGAACTATAGTCACTTTGGTAATTCGTGGGAGCACAGAAAATATCATGGATGATGTGGAGCGTGCTATTGATGACGGTATCAATACATTCAAGTGCCTCACACGTTGTCCAAAATTAGTTGCAGGCGCTGGAGCCGTGGAGATAGAGTTAGCTCGCCGCCTAGCGTCATACGCCGATACTGTGCCTGGTCTGGAACAATATGCAATCAGAGAATTCGCACGCGCTTTTGAAGTTACCATCAAAGTACTGGCTGAAAATGCCGGCAAAAAGGTACATAATTAATCATGTCTATTGTTTGTTTATGTAACCCAGTCGAAAGCATACTATCTGTCATCAATAATTCAGTTTCGCTTAAAGACCAAAACGTTCGGAAATATTCATGACACCTAAAATTCATAACCGTGAAGGTTTGTCTAGACCAAAGAGGGATACAGTTAGTTGATGAAATATTGTGGAAATAAACTAAACTCAGTTCGTAAATAAAAGTTGGAATGTACATTTGCCAAAAACATATTGACCATAGATATCATATAGCAGTAACGTAGAAAAATATATATGTTAAGTGTTTTACTAACAAAACCTACTTCAAATTTTTTCTGTATACAGGTTTCAAGTTCAAGGTACTAATTGTTACAGCTTCCTCAGTTTAAAGCACTTTGCGTGAATAGTCCCCACGCCAGCTCCCAATATCTACTTGTCATTGCCGCATTTTCGTGGCTAATATGATGACGTTGTTCCTGGTAATATAATAAGACTCGCATCACTAATGCTCTATTAGTAAAGCAACGAATTTTTATGTACACTAGTAGGATTTAATTCTGCGAATAGCTGCCATTTAGGTATAAGCCCGTTATGTACAAAACCTTAAATGCCATTTTAACGCCAATTTTACCATTTATATCCATGACATGTTTTGGTCTAGGCAGAATGTGCATATCATAGTTAAGAAGTTTAATCGTTTTTCGAACTATAGATATGAATTGTCAAATAAGCTATTCGTAAATCTAAGCTCTTACTGTGTGCACAAGGCCAATTTATTGTAAATCTATCCTACTTTGGTAATCCATATAATTATATTACCAACAGTAGTAATAATTATCATCCCACTTCTAAATTACCTATTATTTTGCTGTTTTAATGGACCTACCATTAATTCGTCTTACGAATTGATTTGACAAATAGATATGTATTCAGACTATTCAAAGTGTATTACGCAACGTAACATTTCCCAGATAAACTCCATTTTCTAAGAACTTTCCAGATATGCTAAATGCGATTTATGGCTTTAGACTTAATTTTAAAAATAATTCTGTCACCTCTATTTTCAGGTTACTGAAGTGGTCGCCATCCTGTATGCAAAACACGAAGCTGGGCAAATTCATACCGGTTTAGTTACTCAACCAAACGGTGAAGTTTCCGTCAGTGATGCTGCTAAATCGGAAGTTTTGGATATTCATCTTTTGAAACACTGGGCTATACGTTTTGCTACAAATGCCGCTATTACCATATTACGAGTGGATCAAGTAAGCATTTCAAATAGTGTTTCTTTTATTCGTAACGAACACTAGAAACTGTAGGTTTGTAGATACTCCTACAGTTGGTTTGCCTTCATGACGCAGATATCCTATAAAAACTACTAATTCCTTTTTTTGGAATTTACGCTTAGGAAACTGCAATTCACCTAGCGAGGAAGCTTATTCTACATTCACCCTGTATAAGTCACAGGTTCAAATACAGTTCAGTAATCTGTTTAAGGAGCTTGCAGACAGGATGCTGGATCACGTATTAAGTGTTGTATTGAATCATTGTTGTTTTCAATCAAAAAGTGCGTAACGGATCTCATTTAGTACAGCGATACTTTAAAGAGGTCATTCTTTTTATAATAGAATTGAGAGTTGATCTAATCAGAAGGCAGTTACCCGAGAGATTTTTCTCATGTGCCAGGCTACGGTCAACATATCACTCAATCTACTAGGTAAGGGTAGGTGCGGAATTTGAATCTGGAACCTATTGACCGATAGCGAATTGCTAACACCAATAAACTACATCTCCCAATTTGAGTTCATTGTTGTCGTTCTTACTGAAGTTGCCAGAGAGTATTGGTTTGTATTCCTAAGTGATAATTTTTATCAGATAGATGCCAAAAGGAATCATGTTCCACCCTACAGAATATTACACCCATGAAGTGTATAGCAGATTTTCAATCACAAAGGAATAATGTGAAGAAAATTCAGTACAATTGTATTCGGTTGCATGAAAGCATTTACTCAATCTTCCTCGATTATTAATAATAATAATACTTATCAATAACTGGTATTTATTATCAGAAATGGATTAATGGTCTCTGTAACGAATTTGGTTGACAGTGCTGTGTGAATTGTACTCTTCTACGGCTTTTGTGAAGCTTTATTACATCAACTCACTCGACTCATCGAATGTGTAAGCCTCATTCCATCTACATATCTCTGTTTAACAGTGTAGTAATCCAATTTGGAATAATAGAAGCTTAAATGAATATACCAGAGTAGAAAGTTCCAGACTCCAGGTAATTGTCCACTACAATATCCGAAGAACTGATTCTTATTCTCGGGATTTCTTTTGTTTTTGTTTTCAGATTATCATGGCACGTCCAGCTGGTGGACCTAAACCTCGTCAACCTGCAGCCGCAGATGAAGACTGATGAATATCAACATCTGAGTTGTGAAATGGCTTTGCTTGACCAACTGCTCGATTGTATTGTTATGCATCTTTGAAAATAAATCATTTTAACCTACTCATTTGTTTTCATTTTCTTGAACTCTTGATTTGCGAAATGTAGTTATATGAAAGTGTGAATGGACAGGATACAGTGTTTAATACGTAAGTCTCGTAATATATATAATAACGAAATAAAGCGTCCTTTGCCAACTTCGTATTTAGTGTGTATTTATGAGGTAATAAGCTTCTATAACTTAAGTGGTAAGGTCGTGTGTTTCAAAATGAAGCGATTCTCGTTGTAAATCTTGTCGGAAATCTTATAGTAATGTGCATAGATTAGTCTATAATGTTTTTCATCAGTCGGTCTGTATTTCTTAATTACTGGACAATAATATTAACTTGAGAAGTTGTATAAATTTTAGACTTCTGAGTTAAACAAATTATTATTTTTCTGCAGATCATCCTCATTAGAGTATGGGAATGAATCTTAATTGTTGCATGAATGATGATGGTGGATTAAAGATTAACTCACTGAATAGAATACTTTCTTCAATTTCGGTAATGCTGCAACATCTCATTGTCTTTTGTCAACTTGTATTGTTTTTTTCTAGAGATTCAAAGTGACGCTGTTGTGTATTGGAAGTTTGAATCATAACTAGTTTTTGTTCATCTGTCAAATACATGTATGCAGACAATACTACGAAATTTGGTGATAGTATTTATCATGGATATGAAACTGTTGATTCTGCGGATGACTCAGATGAACCAGTTGATCCGGAATATATTAACCTCTTAGAAGAACTTGAAGGTAATGAACACGTGGATGTAGACTTATACTCTGTTTTGGGTGTTGAGAAAAATGCATCCGCGGCTGATTTACGTGCAGCCTACAAACGTCTATCATTGCTGTTTCATCCGGATAAACATTCAACCTCATCTACTGTGGATGGATATACAACAAACCTTAATCTATTAGATGCGGAATGTACATTCAGTCGAATATCTTCAGCATACACAATTTTAAGTGACCCTAAACAACGTGCAATTTATGACAATTTTGGTTATAAAGGTAGGTAGATTTTACCTAAAATATCTAATTCTTTCAATTCTGTTTCATTTTATTGACGTACTTATTTAAATTATCCTGATCTAAAAACATTTAAAAAACAATCTGAGGTAATATTGCACTCTGGTTAGCTGTGATTTTTACAATTTAGAACTAACAGTCTCATCTGCTACTCTAGCGTTGTTCTCCAGTTTGCTGAAGTGTTGTATCATCCTTTTTAATTATAAATTTTGAGACGCTCATTACTACAATATCAAGAGCATTGGTCAGAATAGAATTAGTCACAATTTGATTACAATGAAGCCATCCTCAGAGAATTACAAAATAATATAAGGTCAGGAAGTAAAAAGTGTTGTTGCACTGACTTCGCCTTTTCTCTTAAGGGTACTTACTCTAGACGCAGATGTAAAAAAGTCTTCACATACTTGAAATTCCAGCTATCCGTCTAATATCCTAACGTCTATTTTCTACGTGTTTAAACTGGTGTTAAATTCAGGACTGTTGTTTACAATTCAAATTTTTATGATGTCTAACTCGAACGCTTCATGTTTATACTCAATTTTACACTTCCAATGATTAATAGATTTTGGATTTCTCTTCAGGCTTACAGATGCAGGGCTGGCAAATAGCAACCTGTCAAAAATCAACACCTGAACTGCGTTTAGAATATCTTCTACTGAAGGAAAAAGCGAAAGCATCCAAACAACTTCAAATGACACAGCCGAACTCCGAATTTTCATTTGGTTTGGATTTGACTGACGTCTTTGATCGTTACTTGAAGGTTAGTTTGTATAATTAATTGATTCTCTGATCCATTATTTATCATTTCACAAGAACAGAATGAACTTGTGTTCAAATGAAAATCCACTGCTAGGTTTTTGCAGTTTACTTTAAGGATTTTTATTTTACGGTCATCAATCTCGACTTTTGTGAAGGCGTTGAGTTCTTGGTTTTTTTATTGCTGTCGACTAAACAACAGTTGCAAAGGGATACTTAACTTCTAAATTAAAAAAACATCACATTCTTCACGCTTCCCACAATTCAGTGTCTCTGGTATCACTTAGTTGGTATCTGATAAAACACATCTGCTAAAAATACTGACGCAATTCTGAATCAAACAAAATATGCTTATCCTTGTTCGAGCACCCCTATGTATTTCGGTAATAAATCAAAAGAAAATATAGTGGGGTTGTATGACAATCGAGAATAATAGTTCATATACATGTATTCTTGTTCACCTAATTGTCAATGTCGTGTGTCAAATGATGTTGTGTATCTTCCCGCCACCAAAATACAACTGGGGCTAAAATAAAGAAGTGAAACTAAATTAACCGAATATTGCTATTTTGATCACAGATTACTAATACTCCACCCCTTTTTTATCCCGAAAGGTGTCATTAGTCATCTGTGTTATGTCATTCAACCTAGAAAATAATCCTAGTTTACCGGCAATATAGGATGGCAACTTTGCATATGACTGTTACGATGCCTAAGCTATGCTATCTAGTCTGTATTTCCCAATGAATGAAAAACAAAACGATATTGTTTTTACTGACATTTCGCTATTTAATGCTAATAGCTTTATCAAAGGTCCTTGGGTAGTTGTTTTGCTTGAGAGTTTCAGTAATAAGATTTGATAGTGTGAAATATTCCCATATTATGAATTAAAAGTCAATCTGAACGAAGAATATTCTTTTCAATAATTTCTCTTCAGGTTCTTACAATTATAATGTTTGATATTTCTTCTTCTTTTTCTTTCTCATCCGTTACCAGAAAGTGTGCTTGTCTAAGAAGACTTGAAACAACTGAAATCTTTGCACTGGTGGGGTGTAGTGATTTAACTTTCTATACGTCCTTTTAACTTGACCTAAGTAGTCTATTTTCTCACCCCTTAACTCTTTGTTATATATATATGCTGAGATTTTGTAAATTCCGGTTTAATAATACTTTGATAAAGTTATTAGCATCAAACAGCGAAATGTCAGTAAAAACAATATCGTTTTGTTTTTCATTCATTGGGAAATACAAAAACCTTTATTATAAGGAATATCATATACCCAATGCCCAAATTTTTTCAAACTGTTAAAAGTGAACTTGGTTTGGACATATAGAAGTCAAAGTAGAGTTTATTTTCACACTTTTATCGAAATGGGAATCGGGTATGTTGACACTTGTCTCTTGCCTGCTAGCTGATAGCATCTCCTTTGGTTCCTACATGAGTAGAAGCAGATTAAAATACAGCTAAGATATAATAATACAGCCAAGAATTTCAAATCTTGATTGACAATTCATAATTGCTAAATTCCACTTCAGCTTTTCTGCAGGTAAAGAATAAATTGTTCTATTTTTTTTTATTTATGCGATCAATATTTCACCCAGTAGTTTCGCAAATATGCGTGCTGAGCAAAGAGTAAGCGTATGTAAAGTTATATTTCCGGAAATCGTAGCGATATTGGAATAAATAATTTAAACGTTTTTCCGATAAACTTATCCGAATTTTATGGAGTTTGTGATTTTGCGAAATCTGCAGACTTAACTTAAGTAGGCGATGTCATTGAAACTGGATAAATCGATACTACTGTTTAACTTTGGTCTATCTCAAAAAACCCACTTCACTTGGAAAAAGTTGTATCATATTGACTAGTTATTGAAGGTGATGCAATCAGTGAACAAATAGCATAATTTCAAAACATAGGCTAGTGAAAAAAAGTGTTTGTGTCGAGTGGTAGAGTCAAACGACATAGTAAGTGAAAGGTCACTATATCTTCAACTGTAGATGTCACCTAGTAGGGTGATGAAAGCTTCGCAAATTAACTATCCAGCTCAGAGAACACAACCACACCAAAATCGTCCACCTGAGCTACGAATCTTCTCTATCATATCTAAGAAGATGTACTCAACTGCATGTAAACAAATCTCATAAATTTGTCGTGAATTAACTACTTGAGTGGATATAGACCAAATATTCAGGCTTTGGAAAGGTAGACATGGCATTGAGGTAATTCTGATGTGGTTTTCTCATACTCTTCGATTATAAAATGAAGACATTCATAATGTTATAAACTTTATGAGCTGTTCGTTTTGTCAGCACGTTTGAAATTCATTCTTTAGAATTTTCTTTTATTATTTATGTTTGTTTTATAGGAACCACCAGAGGATCGTTCCGTTATTCCTATCCCATCAATTTACGAACTTTCTGTCGCCCAGTCTATTAATGCCGGTATCAGTGTGAACAACTCTGTTAGTTTGGCTGGTCAAGTGACAGCTCATAATGGAATAGGCGTAGGTACATGCCTAGTGATTTGGCGGCACCACTGTTCCAGAAAGTCTATTCTCGGTCCAACCACCATTGATACTGAGGTTAGATTTGTGTTTATGTATTTGTTGTAAATCGAAAATTATTATTATTATTACTGTCATTATACGAAAACTTAGTACACTAAAGTATCTGAAGATACATATGACAAGATAAACTGATGATCATAAATATGGTAGATGGGGTCACAATTTATATTCTAGCGTTATATGTGTATTTAATATCTCATGTAGTGTTACACTTTTTCTTCAGTGTTCATAAAACTACCTAAGTATCCGATTTTTCTTAAGTTGTCAACAGTTAGTGCAATAGCACGATGCTTCTAATCGTAAAAAGACTGCTTATACAAAATATTTTAGTCTTCTGCTTGTTGTGATTGCTAGAGAGCTTTAAATCATATATTTATTTGACCGTTTGTATGAATCGCTGTGAAGTGCTTAGACTTACAATTCTCGTCATCTATTTATTGCGTTTCTTATTTTAACTTAGATTTCTTACGGTCGTGCTGGACGTGGATTATGTACCGGAATCAGAGCAAAGCGTGCATTTGGTCAACGTTTTGTCGGAAATTTTGGACTCTCTGTCACCGGTTTGTATGAAAGATCTCCAAAATCAAGTATAACTCTTATGCCAAATATTACTGCTGGTTTAAATATCCAACTATTATCACATGTACATGCTCATCTTGAACTGAGATGCCTCATGAATCCAGGTATATCAAGTGATTTATTATTCACCTCTTCTGATGGTGCTTATAATGCAAGAATTTCAAGCAAATTGAATGCATCTGGCTATGCAAGTATTTCCTTATCACTAGAGAAATCTGTTACATGGTCTTGGCTCAATCCACCTAGAGGATCCGGTGTATTTGAAAAACAAAGTACTTCTGAAACTAATTATGATTGGGCTGACTCAGACGACTTTGATACGGAACAACAACAATCTGATAAGGGCAGTATATCCTGTACTATTGGTGTTAATACTACAGATATTGGTGAATTCGCTCTTGGTGCCCAATGTCGAATATCCGCTCTGTCCAAAATCTCTGGCCAGATTCGGTTAAGTCTTCAAAAAGGTGTTAGTGTGAAACTCAGTCTATTAAGAGGTACTCAAACTTATTCCATCCCTTTGCTTTTATCTGAACATCCTGACACAGTTGCGTTTGGCTATGGATTGATCTTCCCTCTTCTTGCATTTTCTGCTATTCGCATGTTAATTTATGAACCTTATCTTTCACGAAAATTAGAACTCGCTCAAAAATCTCGCAGAGCGAAACTACACGAGGAATTGACAAGAAAGCGAAGAGAGGCTTTGTCTACTCAGGAACTTATGAAGAAAGCTGCATCCCGCAGTAAACGGAATGAAATGTCTATTTCGGGTCTAGTTATTGACCGGGCAATGTTTGGTTGTTTCTCGTCAAACTCAGATCCCTCAACTTTATCCGACGCTGGTGGTCCGTTGGCATTCGATGTGACTATTCCCCTTCAAGCTATGGTTGAACAAAGTCATCTGCGTTTGCCGCCCGGTCGATGGTGTGATTTTCAAGGATTTTATGATCCTTGCGTCGGTTTAGTAGACAAGTCCCGTCAACTTTGTGTATTGTATACTTTCCGCAATTGTCCACATGAAGTGACTGTCAATGAGAATCAAGGTCTAGCTATTCCGATGTCGAAACATAAAATTGAAACGGTTTAACCGTATGTAAAAAATATCCTGTAGTCGTCTTTCAAATTGCTAATATTTATGCTATCGTGTAATGATTATTTAATGCCTAATACAACAAAAGGACTATGCATTATTTTTATTGTTATTATTTTACATATACCCTTATTTTCATTTCATGAGAATAGAGTTAGGTCTACTTTTTAATTCATTACTTCTATTTAGCACATTATAAATTTGTAGATACTTTTTGATTTCTCTGCTCTTTGTTTACTGTCATGAAAATAAAAAAAATATATAAAATCTACTAACTTGTTATTTTTCATGTTTCAGTGAGTGTTAAAGCTCACTTTCCGACGTGCAAAAGATCTGTTTGGAGTAAAAGAAAATGTCTATTAACTGAGATTTGTAATTTATAAGTGATACGCTTTGCGTTTTGTTATCAGACTTTTCGAGGTAAGTGTGTAAAGTTGCAGTGTTCAGAAAGCATCCATTTTTTCTTAATCCGTGTTTGTTTATCAACTTTTTTATGTTTGAATTATATATGTAGTCTCATCGGATTAAAACAGCCCCTTGATAACTAACGGTATTTTCAACAAAGAAATTTGCACACAAGTCCAGTGGTTTAAACTGCCACACTTCATGAAGCATACACAGACAGAGAAATATATAGAATATGACTATAATGAATGAGAATGTACAGTAGGACGTGAAATTACCTGAAGAATAATCATGGTTTTATGGATCTGGAAATCGAAAAAAATGGATGCACTTTGATTCACTGAGCAAGCCTTCTAGCCTTGTAAACGGAAATCTCAATCCATCGATACTTAGCCTCTGGAGGAGTCTACACAGACACCTCCCAGTTTCCCTGACTCCAAAGAAGCCGTCAGAGACTTACACAATAGCTTCACATCTGAGTATTTATTCCTCATTCTGCACCATACTAATCCGCAGCTATCCAGCTATTCTCCACACACAAACTTACACATTGGTAGGTATGAACCACGTCGCAGCCACCTCAAACGATCAGTTTCGACAGTACTCATCCAACGCGAAGAACTGAACAAAGACACTTTCGTTTACGAATGTTTACCGTTTTCATGTTGTCTACTTTCACCCAGTGTCCGCCTACTCATAGATTAGGAGAGGGTGAACTGCTGTGCAGTATTCATGCACTTTGATATGTCAGCGAATCTAGGACTGAATTAGCACCAGTTTACTCCAACTGTTGGCATGGAATCACTCACGATCAGGTGGTACGACTTCGGAGGTGATTCAGGATGGCGGCGATGAATTAGTGACTAGGTTAACCAAGATATCAACCAGGTAGTAATGTGTGGGAATCTGAGATAGTCCCGCTGGACTGGTGAAAATCGTTGATTATGGAAGTTTATGAGAAAGGAGACAAGTCTGTCTGCGATAACAGTCAGAGGAGGATCAGCTTGAATGATATAGCGTCTGAAATTCTAGCTTGCATAATCCAGATCAGTAGACTAAAGGGAACTCGGGAGAGACAAACCCATGAAAGCCAGGATGGCAGCTAGGCAGGTAGCCAGCCGGACAGCCAGCTAGGCAGTCAGACCAGTCAGGCTTTAAGCACGAACGACGGTGTATCGATCATATCTTCTTCACTCATCGACAGCCTCTGCAACACAGTCACACGTATTGGCGTCCAACACTTGACATATTCCTTCATCTAAAGGCGTCATTCCACTCCGTCGACCGAGAGGTACTGTGGTAATGTCTGGCCGTGAAGGCAGTGGCGAGAGAGTATATCGCACCAATCAACCAACCAACCCACTCACCCACTCGGTCTACTCGAACTCATCCAGCCGTGTAAGAGCTAATGGTGAGTTGTCATGTGAAGTCATGAATGACAACCAGTGGTGTCCTTCATGGCTGGCCAATGTCTCCACTTCTATTCAATTTCATGATGGCTGTACTAATCCATGTGATCGTGATCGACTCCGGTGACTTAGAGATTACTGACTAGTTAGTTATCAGGGAAGAGTCTCGTCAGCTTAGAGTATGCAGACGATATAGTCGTTCGAGATGATGAGTCTGACGAAGTGCAGAGTCTTGTGAGTAAATTGAGCAGAAATCTTAGCATGACTGGAATGCAATTCACCAGTGTCGAAACTTCACACGACTCATCACTTAGTTGGCTTTATGTAATAGAATGTGCACAAGGCGATGCGACCGATATATGTGGGACAAACCTCTGGTGAAATGAAGCTTAGAATCAGTGAATACCTCACAGACAGCCAATCGACTTACAAGAAAACTCGTAGATTGAAATGCAGGGAAGATGCCCGCCTTAGCCTCTACATGCTATATCATCAGATCACAAGATCAAGTTTGATACCATTCAAATTATTCTAAGGTTACAGGAGACGTATAATGGGCGATCTCTCCACAAGTTCCTACAGGTTTGGATCGAAATTACCCAAATAGGAATGAGGGAACAAGACATCTTGACTCGATTCCAATCCACAACGAAAAGCCAATATCATCAACACACACGTGATGAGAGGAGTTACACTCACATGCATCTGTTATTTATTTATTTATTTATTTATTTGTTCAGCTGCTTGATTATGCGAAAGTATCTCGGTCAAGTGAATGTGCGTAAGCTTCGGTGCCATGTTTCCATCTGGTCTCACATACACTACCCAAATCTAATCTCACTTATGTCAACATTCCTCTTCGAGGAGAGTGATTCCTCGACATCTGCAACAATGTCTCGATAGATGGAACTTCGCAACTTCATCGATTCAATCACTTCCTCCACCTAGTAGTCTACATCAAATATCGACAGTACTCATCCAACGCGAAGAACTGAACAAAGACACTTTCGTTTACGAATGTTTACCGTTTTCATGTTGTCTACTTTCACCCAGTGTCCGCCTACTCATAGATTAGGAGAGGGTGAACTGCTGTGCAGTATTCATGCACTTTGATATGTCAGCGAATCTAGGACTGAATTAGCACCAGTTTACTCCAACTGTTGGCATGGAATCACTCACGATCAGGTGGTACGACTTCGGAGGTGATTCAGGATGGCGGCGATGAATTAGTGACTAGGTTAACCAAGATATCAACCAGGTAGTAATGTGTGGGAATCTGAGATAGTCCCGCTGGACTGGTGAAAATCGTTGATTATGGAAGTTTATGAGAAAGGAGACAAGTCTGTCTGCGATAACAGTCAGAGGAGGATCAGCTTGAATGATATAGCGTCTGAAATTCTAGCTTGCATAATCCAGATCAGTAGACTAAAGGGAACTCGGGAGAGACAAACCCATGAAAGCCAGGATGGCAGCTAGGCAGGTAGCCAGCCGGACAGCCAGCTAGGCAGTCAGACCAGTCAGGCTTTAAGCACGAACGACGGTGTATCGATCATATCTTCTTCACTCATCGACAGCCTCTGCAACACAGTCACACGTATTGGCGTCCAACACTTGACATATTCCTTCATCTAAAGGCGTCATTCCACTCCGTCGACCGAGAGGTACTGTGGTAATGTCTGGCCGTGAAGGCAGTGGCGAGAGAGTATATCGCACCAATCAACCAACCAACCCACTCACTCACTCGCTCACTCACTCACCCACTCGGTCTACTCGAACTCATCCAGCCGTGTAAGAGCTAATGGTGAGTTGTCATGTGAAGTCATGAATGACAACCAGTGGTGTCCTTCATGGCTGGCCAATGTCTCCACTTCTATTCAATTTCATGATGGCTGTACTAATCCATGTGATCGTGATCGACTCCGGTGACTTAGAGATTACTGACTAGTTAGTTATCAGGGAAGAGTCTCGTCAGCTTAGAGTATGCAGACGATATAGTCGTTCGAGATGATGAGTCTGACGAAGTGCAGAGTCTTGTGAGTAAATTGAGCAGAAATCTTAGCATGACTGGAATGCAATTCACCAGTGTCGAAACTTCACACGACTCATCACTTAGTTGGCTTTATGTAATAGAATGTGCACAAGGCGATGCGACCGATATATGTGGGACAAACCTCTGGTGAAATGAAGCTTAGAATCAGTGAATACCTCACGGACAGCCAATCGACTTACAAGAAAACTCGTAGATTGAAATGCAGGGAAGATGCCCGCCTTAGCCTCTACATGCTATATCATCAGATCACAAGATCAAGTTTGATACCATTCAAATTATTCTAAGGTTACAGGAGACGTATAATGGGCGATCTCTCCACAAGTTCCTACAGGTTTGGATCGAAATTACCCAAATAGGAATGAGGGAACAAGACATCTTGACTCGATTCCAATCCACAACGAAAAGCCAATATCATCAACACACACGTGATGAGAGGAGTTACACTCACATGCATCTGTTATTTATTTATTTATTTATTTGTTCAGCTGCTTGATTATGCGAAAGTATCTCGGTCAAGTGAATGTGCGTAAGCTTCGGTGCCATGTTTCCATCTGGTCTCACATACACTACCCAAATCTAATCTCACTTATGTCAACATTCCTCTTCGAGGAGAGTGATTCCTCGACATCTGCAACAATGTCTCGATAGATGGAACTTCGCAACTTCATCGATTCAATCACTTCCTCCACCTAGTAGTCTACATCAAATATCGACAGTACTCATCCAACGCGAAGAACTGAACAAAGACACTTTCGTTTACGAATGTTTACCGTTTTCATGTTGTCTACTTTCACCCAGTGTCCGCCTACTCATAGATTAGGAGAGGGTGAACTGCTGTGCAGTATTCATGCACTTTGATATGTCAGCGAATCTAGGACTGAATTAGCACCAGTTTACTCCAACTGTTGGCATGGAATCACTCACGATCAGGTGGTACGACTTCGGAGGTGATTCAGGATGGCGGCGATGAATTAGTGACTAGGTTAACCAAGATATCAACCAGGTAGTAATGTGTGGGAATCTGAGATAGTCCCGCTGGACTGGTGAAAATCGTTGATTATGGAAGTTTATGAGAAAGGAGACAAGTCTGTCTGCGATAACAGTCAGAGGAGGATCAGCTTGAATGATATAGC